TTTTCGACCACCAAAAATGAGATTTGATGAAAAAATTAGTGAAATCGGTGGGAGATGCTCTAAAAATTATTCTTTACCCTATATGAAATAAATAAATAAATAAATAACCCAGCTCATAAACTCAAGTACGATCAAATTAGTTTTACAAGAATGATAGTGGTTGAAATAATGTGATTGATAAGATTGTATTGACTAAACCTAATTTTATTCTTGATGATTATGTGATATTAAACACCGATATATTTAGATTGTAGAATTAAAACATCTATATAAGAAACACTATATCAATCAGTTTTTGTAGTAGCACATTTTTTTAGGAAGATGCAATATAATAGTTGAGTATTCAAAAAGTCGTATTTATTATGAGGGTGATTTTTGACACGATTAAGAAGACTTCTTATTGCTAATAATAAAAAAAGATTAACAAAGTAGTAGTACACTTGAAGCAAACAAAATGCTAATTTACGTGTTACTTGATTCTAGCTGTCAACTTCATATCGTCTGTCAAGACCCGTATCAGAATCCGGGTCAAGACACGTAACGGTGGTTCAATTACTAGAGCAAAAAATTTGCAAGTCAAATAACTCTAGATTGACAGATCCCTTGTACACCAATTTTTCAGCTAGGTGAAGATTGTCACACGTTACTTATATCTAGTATTATTTGTTGCATTCTTAAAAAAAAAAAGGAGTTAATTGCATTCAACAATACCTCTTGTAATTATTCTAATCGTTAAAAACACTAGCAAAGTTCTCTTTATAATTCAACTTTATTGCAAACTACCCCTTAAAACTCATTATGCTTAAAAAATGCACCATAGGGATTTGTTTTTGCTAATACGTATAACACGAGGAATTTTAGCAATTAGACATAACAAAGGAGCGTTAAATGCAATAAACTTTAAAAAAAAAATATCAAATTGTGCAATTAGGATGATTAATTTTTTTTTTTTTAAGGGACTTGGTAAATGAATCACGGCCGTTATTCAACTCATGGCACTTTATTTTTTTTTTAAATATACCTCCTCTTAATCCTTTCAAAACCCTTCTATGTAAGTTTTCGATATATGATAACAGGTAAATTACGGCTACCCCTCAACTATGAATCTTTTTACACATTAAAAAATACAGTCTCTGATGGGATAAAACGGGACAAACTGAAGAATATTCAACATGATATAGAAGATTCCACTAAATTTGAACGTGTAAGAATATTCATAGTTAAGGAGGGTGATTATAATTACCCAAACATAAGGGCTTTTCAGAAAAGACCTTACCTCAAGGAATGGCCGTAATTTACCCTATAATAAACGGTGGATTGGCTTGAAATAAAAGTTCAAATTGTAAAATATCACGTGTTTACTAAAAATCGTTGTATTTGTCTTTTCATAATTTAACGCCTTAGTTATAATTTTCTCTTTTGATTGCTTTCTAATCCTTTCAAAATGTAATATTCTTTTTAATTTACACTTTGAATATAGGGGCTATTTGATAAACACTCTCATTACATTTTGACTTCTTAATAAATCCAATTTTATGAGTTGATATTTGCCATAAATCCAATCAATCCAAAATACCCTATATGCCCCAACTAATTAGTTTTCTATTAATTTAAAATTAAAAATTCGGTCGATATATACAAATCCCTCCTAGATCACACCACCGAAAAATCCTCCTCATAATTCTGCCCCAAATCACGCCCGAAATACACTCCAACATCATCGTCCGCGCACCGCCTATAAAGCCCATCCAACAATGGATACTGTTCTTAGGGAAGAAAGTGATTAGAGGCTAAAACCACATTTTTTTTAATTCATGAAAACACATTTTTTCTTGATTTGTATCGCTGCAAAATGGTTAAAAAATCGACATAAAAAAATAAGTGATCATTACGGCCTTGTGTTTTTTGATTTAACCCGATTATTTGAATATTGCAAGTATTTTACTAGAATTGCGAAAAGAGTTGCGAAAACCACTCTGTACAAGACATTCAAACAATATAATCAAAGAGTTTTGAAAACCAGTATGTATAAGAACACATTTAAAGAAAAAATACTTCAAATCCTGCAACAATAACAAACATGTTCTTGTACCAAATAAATGAGTTATCAAATATATGAAATATGTTACCTACAATCGCAAATACAACCAAGGGTTGTGAAAACCACTCTGTAGAATCTGAACCCCAACCTCGCTATTCCTAACTCAATATCTTGGGACCCTTTTTCTGAAATTAAATTTCATACCTCCACAAAACGATATGTCTACAATTAAGGAGAGAAATTTGTGGTCTTACATCATTCAAAATGTGATTACGTGATCTATTAATTACATGATATAATTAATGATGAATTGCAAATTGATAGTTGATAATAATATTTATTTTGGATATATTTGTATTGAAATATATAAAAAAGAATTTACATATAAATAAAAACTTATATATATTTTTATAGAATATTTATAAATATACCCCTATACTTTTAATAATTATATGTTTCCACATTTCTGGGGCATGTCGTTTCCTAGTGTTCGTTTCCCAGTTTCCCCTTATCGTCGTTTCCATGTCCGTGCTAGTTTCCCCTTATCGTCGTTTCCGTGTCCGTGCTACACAGTAATTAGCCACCTCCACTCTCTACGATATAATCTTCCAAGTACTTTAATTTCAACCGGCTAATTAGTATAATTACTTATTTATTAAGATTATTATCTCCATATATTAACTAATTAAAAGTAGGCCAACTATCAGAAAATTAGAAAAGAATGTACACAGAAATTTCCAGGCATGAATAATCATATAAGTAATGGTCAATGGAAGTTATCAAAAACAAAACAATTATAATACTCATTCAACTCTATTATGTGTGTATATATATACATACCCATTGGTGCACATATTTTCATATCCTCTCAAAATATATATTCTGTCCGTAATAACATATAAATTATAAGATGACTAGAGTTTTAGGCAATATTGGTAATTATGGGGCAAGTGAGGGAGGTTTTATGTTTGAGGGCTCGGGTTTTATGTTAATGGTTGGCATGTTTGTTTTGTCCATTTCTATCATGTCTTTTCTCATATTTGCTTGCGCTGATGACGGCTCCGACAATCCCCAGAAGAAACGCCGTGGTGGAGGTGGCGGTGGAGGTGGAGGTGGCGGTGGAGGTGGAGGTGGGTGTTAGATATTTGTGGAAGTGAGAAACATTTATATAATTTCTATTTGTCAAAATTATTTGTACATGTTGCCAAATAAAGAGTTGTATTTTCTATATAGAAGAAAATTATTATTGTGAATATCATATCAAGCTATGTATCTTGATTTACTCCATTGTTGAATTGAAATAAATGGTATCGAATACAAGGTTATATTTTTCAATTTTTTTATAAGATCCTATTTTATATAATTAAAACTAAAATTAGTTCATTTTTGTGTATTGCCTTATTCGCTTATTGCTTGAGTCTTGAGATTATCATTATTAGTTTGGAGGAAAAAATCCGCATATATATTTCATGATATAATAACTCGCATTTTAAAACTGAAAATAATAATACATGAAAATAACAATTATAATAAAATTTAGTGGAAATTGGCTAGATGTTCTATTTCTTGAAGTTATATAGTTGGATATCCTATTTACTATATGGATACAAGCTTAGGTCCTACCATTTAAAAAAATAATATAAGTTAAATTAAATTAAGGGGTCATTAGCAATAAGCCATTCATTCATATAGCTAATAAATGGTGATATGTCCACTCCTTAAATCTTTCTTTGTGACAACCCCCTATAAATTGTATTCCCAATAATACCCTTGAGTCAATTAGCATAATTTGTCTCAATTATTCCTTTTCTCTCTCTTTCCATAACAAAAATTTAATTCCCTAAAAAAATGCTTCCAAATTCCTAAAAATATGCTACCAAATCAAAAATAAATAAATAAATTGAATATTATATTTTTTATTTTTTATTATTTCGGATTTATTTGCTTTTTTTTATTTCTTATTTTTTATTACTTCAGATTTATTTCGCATTATTTTTATTTTTTAATTATTTTTTATTTTTTATTTTTTTTTTAATATTTATTTTAAAAAAAATATATATATTTTTTTTTAACAAAAAATTGATTTTTTTTCCTCAACTTATTTACTTTGCCGAATATGACTATAGGTGAATATGACTATATATAAAGGTTTTTGGCAAAAAGTTGAGTATGAAGGTAACATTGCCTTCTGCTCACATTGTGGATTATTGGGTCACTTGAACAGTGATTGTAGAAAGAAACAACGGGGGCAGCAACATAATAAAAATATAATCCCTCCTGGTCCGTCGATTGGAATACGTCCGGAGCAGCATCAAGAATGGCAGCAAAATGATGGCCGCCTTCGCACCAAAGACACTGGAAACAAAGTAATGCAAGATAATGAGGGAATACATCAATCAATCGGAGTTGTTTTGGAGAAAACCCCAACTCCACATCCTCATCTTCCAGGACCATCATATACTGACAAAAAAAGCTCTGAAGATGTTATTATCGAGAATCAATTCGAAGTATTGGAACATGAGAATAGGGAAGCGGTGGATATGGGGGCCCGAATTACCCAAGACGCAATCAACGCTATTTCAGTGGAAGATGACGCACTTACAAGTCCAAATGACACAGCTTTTCAATTTCTTGACGAGGTGAAACTAGGGCATTTAGTGGTTAAAGATGGGAATTATAAAACTACCGAAAATGAACTTATATCTAATATGGAATCTCGTTACATGGATAAAGGCTCTATCTCCGATGGGCAAACGCATGAAGATGAAGATAACGAATCTCAAACTTCGGAAGAAGTAGATAAGGTACGAGTTTCGGCAGCTGAAACTAACGTTCAAGCACTGGAATCAGCACCAAGTTCGAAGAAAAAAACTAAATCTCCTACTAAGACCAAACGAAGGCCGGGTCGACCGAGAAAAGAAATTCATATAGAAGCACCACCGAACCCCGTTGTTTCTTAATGTCTGTTCTTATCTGGAACATTAGAGGTGCGGGGAACCCGAAATCCCTTCTATATCTTTTAAAGATAATTACACAACGTAAACCACAAATAGTTGCTATTTTGGAGCCTAAACAACAAGTTAATAAAATTACAAAAATTGCACAACAGATTGGTTACAAGAATTATACTCATGGAAACCCTCTCAATCCTTATATATGGGTGTTTTGGAGAGACGAGGTGAATTGGCAGACGTTGGAGATTCATCCTCAATGCCTTACTGCGGAAGTGGTGATTCCAAATATTTTTTCTGGGAAGATGACCTTCGTATACGCTAAATGCAATCGGCAGGAACGATTACCTTTGTGGGATTACCTATCTCATCACAGTAGCACTTGTCATGAGCCTTGGGTGATTGGTGGAGACTTTAACGTTATCAAAACTCTAGATGAAAAGCAGGGAGGATCGAACGCACATATGCCGGGGATGCAAGATTTTAATGACTTTTTAGTTGATGCTCGCTTAACAGATGCAGGTTTCGTGGGTAATATCTTCACTTGGAGTAATAATCAACGGGGTCAAAATCGCATTTGGCAAAGATTAGATCGAATTTTGTTGAACGCAGAGGCTTTCACTGCCATTTCGGCCAGAGTGGATCATCTCCCGAGGCTGGAATCTGACCACTGCCCATTACTTCTCAATTTTGGCCAGCTGCAAACTAAGCCATCTCGTTTCTACTTTCAAAAAATGTGGACGGAGCACCACAATTACCAAGATTTTGTTGCCTCTTTTTGGCAACAGATTATTCCTGGCGGTCGTGCTAATTTTGAGAGTAAGTTGGCCAACCTTCGCAAGGCTCTTAGAAAGTGGAATTGGGAGGTTTTTGGGAAACTCGAGGATAATATTTCTTCCATGCAAAGTAATATAGCGGATATGGAAGCCCGTCTTTCCCATGCATGGGAAGATGATTTGTTCACAGAATGCCAAAAAACAAAAACGGACCTCGTTCAACAGTTAGAATGGGAGAATGCACTTTTGGCTACCAAAGCTCGAGTTAAATGGCTGGAGGAAGGAGATCGAAACACCAAATATTTCCACACTCGGATCAAAGAGAGAAAGAAAAGGAATCAGATTACCCTCAAGCTCGACGACGGTTCCTTCACGTCAGACTGTCAACTTATAGGGGCGAAAGCATTGGCCTATTTTGATGATCTTTTTCACGCTACTCCTTACCATCTTGATCAAGATCTGTTCTCACATGTAGAAGCTAAGGTTACTACAACAATGAATACTAAACTTTGTGAAATCCCAGACGAAGATGAAGTTTACAAGGCTATTAAAGATTTGTCACCGGATAGTGCTCCCGGGCAAGATGGTTTCACAGGTTACTTTTATGTTCGATGTTGGAGTATAATCAAGGAAGATTTTATGCTGCTAGTTAGTGGCTATTTTCAAGGGGACTATCTCTCGAAATGCATGTCCACTACTCTTCTCTTTCTTCTGCCGAAGGTTTCTAATCCGGAAAACCCTACTCAATTTCGGCCAATCAGCTTGGGAAACTTTGCTAGCAAGGTTATTTCCAGAATTATTGCTTCGTGATTAAACGCAGTCCTACCTCAGATAATTTCGGAAGAACAATCAGGGTTCTTGAAAGACAGGAGCATCCATGAATCGATTGCTATAGCGCAAGAATTGGTTTCGGATATCGACCGAAAAGTTGAAGGTGGAAACATTATATTTAAATTTGACATGTCTAAGGCCTACGATAGATTGGAATGGAGGTTTTTGCTTAAAGCCTTGCACGCCCTGGGATTTTCACACCCAGTGTGCGATCTACTATATAGATCATTTTCCAATATTTGGTATTCTATATTAATTAATGGGGAATCGTACGGTCATTTCAAATCTTCCAGAGGAGTTCGTCAAGGTGATCCCCTTTCTCCACTTTTATTTATCATCGCCCAAGAAATTCTCACTCTCAATATTAAACGATTGGAGGATCAAGAACGCAGTAAAAAGTATAAAGTCCGTCGAGGCTCGCTTCACATCTCCCATCTTTTTTATGCGGACGATATGCTTTTATTCACCAATGGCAGCAAAAAATCGGTCACGAGATTAAGGCACATGCTAAAAAAATACGAGGATTCGTCTGGTCAGCTGATTAATTTGGATAAGAGTGGATTTTACACATCTAAGAGGATCCGAGATACTAAAATTCATCTCCTTAAAGAATGGACTGGCTGCACCCATAATTCGTTGCCGTTGAAATATCTCGGGGTTCCAATATACAAAGGCCGTTGTCTCGTGAAACATTTTGATTATTTGATCCAACAGGTTCAACATCGGCTGGCAGGATGGCAATCGAAGTTACTATCGTTTGGTGGTAGAATTACATTGGTACGTTCGGTTCTTTTTAGCCTGCCCACCCACACTCTTTCATCAGCCGTGGTTCCCAAGCAAACCATAGTCAGAATGGAGAGGCTTTTTCGTAAATTTTTATGGGGTAAATATGAAGGATCTGGGATTAATTGGATCAATTGGACGACTATCTGTCAGCCGAAAGATGAAGGTGGCCTTGGTTTTCGCTCATTGCTAGACACTAAGAAGATTATGGCGGGTAAGTTGGCATGGCGGGTCCTCGAAGGTAAAACGCTTTGGGCTCGGTTCGCCAGAGCAAAATACGGGTATGACTTTCAAAGCCAAATTCCAGCTCATGCTTCTTTACTGTGGCGAGAATTATTCCCTCATCTACAACTCTTGGAGAATTATAGTAGATGGATCGTGGGAAAAGGGGATATCGATTTTTGGAGAGATCGTTGGATCGACAATGAAGGTCTTGATGAAACTCAATCTATCTCTTTCAGGGAGGCTAAGGAACAGCCGCAACAATTTACTCCTCAACTGCAGCCGGAACAACAAACGATCTTCGATCTTATTGAACTGGATGAGAGGGTTGAGGATAGATTAATCTTCACAAAATCGATTGCTGGGAATTTTAATGTGGCTGACTATTGGGAGTTGATCCGTTCCAAAGCTTCTCCGAATCCTTTGGCGAAAAAAATTTGGCATCCTAAAATTCCATATAACATAGGTGCATTTTTCTGGAAACTGTCATATGGAGCGATCCCGGTGGACTTGGCTCTTCGAAGGCGGGGCTGCATGACTCCATCCAAATGTCGGTGTTGTGCTGCTCCTAAGCAAGAAAGTCTTTCTCATTTATTCATTCAGTCGGATATTGCTCGTGGTGTTTGGAGTAATTACGCACGGATTTGGCAGAAACCTTATGTTTATGGATCTATGAAGCATCTAGTTCAAGTTTGGATGGTTGATGCTAGTATTAATACTCAAGACGGTTTTATGGAGCTTGGTACTCTCATGTTCGGTTGTTGGGAGATTTGGAAAAGTCGGTGCAGGGCAATCTTCGAGGATACTCCGATGAATACGACCACTATTACTCGAAGTATATTCTCACATCTTCGAGCTTTGAACGACGCTTTCTTGGGAAAACGCCCAATGAAACTGATGGGTCGCCTCATAATCCAACAATTAAATTTGGAGGTTAAGCCACCTCCATTGACTAGGGGCAGCTGGATAAAGTGGAACCCTCCGAATCCACTTCAAGTCAAGGTCAACGTGGACGGCTCAAGAAAAGGGGATGAATGTTCCGGTGGTGGGTTAATTCGGACTCATGATGGATCTTTTATTCGAGGTTTTTCTAATTTTTACGGTCAAGGTAATCACATTCTTGCAGAAGCGCAGACAATTCTCGATGGGTTGCGAATTTGTCATGAGATGGGTTTTACACAGGTTAAAGTGGAGTCAGATTCCAAATTAGTTATCGATATGATTTATCATAAAGCCATAGTTGCATGGGAGTTAATTTACGTCATCAGATGCATTAGAAGACTTCTCAAGGACGATTGGCACGTGATGCATATTTATCGAGAGGGTAATCGGGTGGCAGATGGGTTAGCTAAGTTGGCTCATGAGCACAAAGAGAGGAAGCTATTTAAAGTTGTAAACGAACTTCCTCGCTATATTAGACCTTTATTACTTCACGATAGGATTGGAATTCCTCAGTTTCGTAGATTTTCAAGAAGCAAATGAGGGCGCAAATTAAAAGCAAGGCAGGCTGGTGGAATTGGCAAGCAAATGCATTTTTGCTAGCAACTTGGGTGGGGGTCATTCTTGCAATTCCAGCAAATATTGGGATAATGATGGTGAATAGGAAGAGCATTGTTCGTCAGGTGATAATGGAAGTTGGCAAAGAAGATATTTTGGATAATTACATTAGTGGCAACAAATGGGGGCAATTATGTTATTTTCGTTTTTTTAGCTTTATTAGGCAGCTTTATAGTTTATTTCATTTTAGCCCCATTTTAGGGCCTTTTTGTATTAGAAAGGTTAGGGTTGCCCCAGACTTTTTATTACCATTGTAGGGGTACTCTTTTACCTTGTGTAGGCCCACAAGGTTTTTAACGAGGCCCCAAGTCTTTCGATAATAATGGAATAATAAAGTTTTTTCGGCCCAAAAAAAAAAAAAAAAAAAAAAAAAAAAAAAAAAATGTTTATTTTTTATATTGCAGTTTTTTATATTTTCTATAAATTCCGATTATATAATGTCAGAGTCATGTTTACCAAATTATATAAAAAAAAACGAAAATTGCCTATTGTTTACGAAAAACATCCACACAAAAAAATCACAATTTGAATGTTGTTATTACAAGTCAACTTGAAACGAAAATATGGAACATATTTGAATATGACTACAGTCATATTCAAACTGTAGTCATATTCAAATATGACTATAGTCATATTACTACTGCTAGTTCAGATCTGGAGAAAGAAAAAAATATACGAATATGACTATAGTCATGTCGAATATGACTATAGTCATGTTACTGCTCCTAGTTTAGATCCGAAGGAAAAAAATCGTAAAAAATACACAAATAGAAAGAGAAATATAACAAAAGAGAAGGAGGGGAGTTCACGACAACGGCGGTGGCGGCGGTGAACGAAAGCGAGAGTAAGAGAGGTTAATAAATCACTAATCGAGTGAATTAGCAATAGTCATATTCGAACCAGACTATAGTCACGTTAATTCTGCTGCTTCAGGTCTGGGACAAAAAAAAAGAAAAAAAGTCAGAAAATAACGAAAGGAAGGGAAGGGGAGGCGGCGACAACGACGGTGAATGAAAGAGAGAGTGGAGAAGGCGGCTACAATGTTGGTGGTGGACAGATCTGAATATTTTTTTTTTTGAGAAATCGAGAGAAGTAACAAAAAAGAGATAAAAAACCTTACCTGGAGACGAAGGACACGGCGGTGGCAACAGGCGGCAATGGTGGTGATGTAAAGATCTATGTGAAGACGATGGTGGTGTAAAGAGAGAGAGAGAAACCGAGAGTGATAAAGAACGAGAGAGAAAGATATTTATGTGGAGATGAAGGGGGAAGTGACGACGGCAATGAGTGGCGACGGTGTGGCGGTGGCGCGGCGGCAGCGGCGGTTGCAACGCCGGAGGATGAAGGTTGGAATTTCCGGATTGAATTGAAGAAGGTGGAGATGTGGAGAGGTGGAGAAGATGAAAGTGATAGATGTGGGCAAATAATTAGGGTTATAGTAGTTGAGGGTATATTTGTCTTCTCACACTAGTAGAGGGGGGTCTCACTAATTAAGAATGAAATTTGGGTATAAGAAAAGTCTTTAAAAGTCAATTGGATTTAGTTCAAAATATTTTTCATTTAAGGGGTGTATTGCATATTTCCCCTTAAATTAATAGTATATAGTCATATAAACATAAATACACTCAATTAATATTTATTTGAAAATAATTATTTATAAAAAAGGAGGAAACAAATCTCACATGTCACTCATCTTCTAGCTACCTCACATGTGTGTCTCTCTCTTTCCCCCACTCTCGCCCCATCTCAAGTAAATATCTCTCCCCCTCTTTCTCAATCTCAATATTTATTTGTTATTACTTATTTGTAGTATAGATTTATAATTTTTTATTTACATTTTTCTAATTAACTATACTTCAGCAAAAAAAAAAAAAAAAAAAAAGTTGAAACGCATATTTAATGTCACAAAATCGTTGTAATATGTGTATTTACTTGTTACATTTTTGGTAGGATTTCATACATATATTTGCAAAAAAATTCGACATTATTTTTAATTATCCAATTTTTTAACCACCAAATTTTATATATTTCCAAGTTATAGAAACAAAATGCAAAATACAAATTGCAACAACAAAGTGAAAAATACAAAATAAAAGAATAAACAACCTGCAATTTGCAAGATCAAAATAAATAGCAAAATAAATAAAATATAAAACTAGCTAGGCTATGTTTAAAATGTTCTTTTACAAATGCCTTTACGAAACAACAATATGCAACTAATGATTCTATGTTCAAAATGCACTACTCAAGTGCAATATTTCTCGAACAATATGAAAATATTTTTAAAACCCAACATATGAAACAAACGATGGTATAACAAAAATCAACAAACTAATTTTTGTCTAGTAACAAATTAGTGCATTAAACACAAAATACTGCAAAATAAAGCCAATACTTACAATTATTTCTAATCAAAGTTATCGGTGTAATTGATGTTAAGATCTAATGAATAAAAGACTTTCAAATTTATTTATCCAGGCTCAATCAACAAAGGTTGTTGCAAGCAGCGGTCTCCTGCAGTGTACACAACGAAGGTTGTTGCTTTTCAGGGCTTTATTTGCAGTTTGATTTGCTCTTATTTTCGTCCTTTGAGAAGATATTGAGGAGTCATGTAATTTTTTCTCTCCTTTTGTTTTGACTTAACTGTTTCAACGGGCACAAAAAAAAAACAATCAATAAGATTTTCAATTACAAAGATGAACATGAAATAACAAATTACAAACAATAACAGCAATTGCAAACAATAATTTTAAAGTAACAATAAATTGCAAACAAGGAATATTAAACAAAATTTGCAAACAAGAGATTTCAAATTGCAAATAAAAAATCACAGACAAGAACATGCTGGTTCAATTATAAACGAATAGCAAATTGCAAACCAAATGAACAACAATAAACAACAGGACTCGAGAACAACAAAATGCAGACCATCACAAGAACAACTAATAAACGTAAATATGAAGATTCAATAATGCACAATGTAATGCAAATTACTACAATAAAAAATACAAACAACGATAGCAACTAATTGTCAACAAGCAACTGCAAAAGAAATAAAAAAAAAAAATATATGCAAACAACAATATAAAATGTACGGTAAACAATTGCACAACCTTTGAAAATGTGTGGATAATGGACGAGATCGATACTTCAATATCAGCAAAATAAATCTCTACGATTAAAAACACACACACACACACACACACACACACACCCCAACAAGCAACAAGCAATTGCGAAAGAAATAAAAAAAATGCAAACAGCAATATAAAAAGTACGGTAAACAACTTACAAAATATCTATATCGAAACCTTTGAAATGTGTGGATAATGGACGAGATTGATACTCCAATATCAGCAAAATAAATCCCTGCGATAAAAAAACAAAAAACCCATAACATTTGGTCATTAAATCATCATCATAAACATCTAAAAACAAATGGGAGAAATGCAAAAGGTTGATTACATACCAAGACTTTTACTTTTCTGCGTAATATCCATAACATATGTTGTTTATCGAGATTCATACGTGTTTGAACCATTGTTTACAGGAGGAGTGAAAATCGCAAACACCAAACAAAGCAAAAACGAAAAAAAAAAAAGATCCAAAATAGCAAATAGAAGAACAAGCAAGCAATTACCACACACAAACAAGGAACAACAAACAAAATTTGAAGATTTCAATCGATCCGAAGGTCCTTAAGTTATGGCATACGTGAGCAATTTATTGCTAGGGTTTTTTAATTCTGAAATCGGTTTCGGATGGATTGATTTTCATCTCTGCCGATGGGTTTTGATTTCAAGGTTCTTGGAACTTTCGGGATTTTAGGGAGGGGTTGATTATGGATCTTTTTGGATAAAAATCAAGTATTAAATGGTCTATTATTTTAGAATTTCTATTCCATATATTGTTGGGGTTTTTGTGCATAAGTCCCCAACCAAACATCTTTATTATTCTTAGTTTAGGGGTTATATCTCTTTCACCAATAAGCCCATCCTTTTAATATTTACTAGTAATTGTACCCGTGCGATGCACGTGACAACAAATTGCATTGTTTTGATGTTGTAAGAATATAAACAAACGTTTGATGTATCGTATGATCAAAATTCTATTATACTGGAACATCATTAAGTATACTACACACAAAAAAAGGAAATAACTTTACTATTGAATAATTCTCCAAATGAATTGAATCAGCTAATACCAGTAGATTGAAAATTTGAACCAGGAAAAAAATCATCAACTATGTCTTTTATGTTGAGCTTAAAAGTAATTAGATTTAATAACTTAGTTAACATAATCAAAACTAAACTATCGACAACATAAAAGGCCATCTATACATCTTGCATCGGAACTAAGCCCTTCTCCACTGCCTCATTTTCAGGCTGTTTTGCCACTGGAATTAACAATTGGAAAATTAAGAAACAAAAATAAATATAAACAATAAATTAAATATCGCATACAAACAATAAGTCTTGAAGGTCGACTTCCAATAGCTTGTGGCTCCGCCCATTTTTGGTTAATTCTCTCAAATCATCCATTTCAATAACATGTCCAATAACATATAAAATGAAATAATTGTTATACATAAATTTTGAAAACTTTGGTATAAATTAATGAAACACATAATTTAACAAAATGAAATTACCGATAAGCCATGATGGAAAAAGATGTAAACTAATTGCCACACAGTCAATAGGATGAAGAAGATAAAAAACAAAATCTAAAGTCGGGTTACCAAAAGAAGAAGCCTTAGGTAGGGAAGAAATAAAATTCAAATGTTGCAGACATTATGTAAAACGATGTCACAAAATTCGCAGGGATGAAAATCAGATTTATTTACCCTTTTCTGTAAAAATCGAAAATCATATTATTATAAATAATATCTAGGAGAATTTGATGAAAATCGATAATAATATTTAAAA